CTCATTTCACCCACCTCGGAAGGATGGAAAGCTGAGTCAACCTTGAGCCGGTGAGATTAGAACCGCCGAACTGCAGATAACAGTCAGCTGAAGTGTCCTGCAGTATTGCACCCTAACCACTGCACCACCTCGGCTCCTATTGAATGTCTTCCTTACATGATATTAATTCAGAGCGGCATGGAATTGATAATGTGCCATCAAAGTCATTGCCAACTCTTTGAAACCACACAGATTTTCTGCATGCAAATCTGTCCCGAATTTGGTCTTTCGGGACTTCCAATGATCCACTCGTCATCACTATCACTAAATCTATCCGCCTTATGCTGGTCATCCTCTTCTATTCTTCCTTCAAATTTCCTGCATTAGGGCCTTCTCTACTGAGCTCTGTCTTCACACAATTCACCCCAAAATAGGATGTAATAGAAGTAAGAGGCATGGAAGGCTGTACCTCAAATATAGATAGTTGTTGATAAAAAGTCATGAAATCTCAATGTGGTTCATGTACATTTTTTTAAAATATGTTTTTTGAGTGATGCATTGATTTGTCTCAACAGATACTGGTTTAGAAATTGTAGGAAGCAGAATATTCACACCATGGGTGACGTTGTGTAGTGTTGATACTGCAGTTTCCAGGATGCCAAAGTAATGGTAGTGATAGGAATTCTGGAAGTAATTTTTCCTAGATGTCTGGGAAAGACCAAGTTGGGAACAAATATAAAAAAGGGATTGAAAGCAGTGGGGGGGAGGGGGATTCAATTTTTTTGACTACCAATTCTGTGGGTATGGCATGAGGGGCATGGCAGGGGAAGGATACTGTAGAATCTCCATCCCCTCTTCCCACTCCAGGGGAAGGTTACTGCAAAATGCCTATTTCCTCCTGATCAGCTGGGACTCAGGAGGCAGAGAATAGATGGAGGCAGGGCCAATCAGAGGTGGTATTTACTGGAAGAGCCGAGGTGGCACAGTGGTTAGGGTGCAGTACTGCAGGCCACTTCAGCTGACTGTTATCTGCA